GCCTGAACTCTGGGCCTGGGTGCTGTCCCTCAGCTCTTCAGCTCAAGGCTAGCGCTCTACCACTTGAGCCACAGCACCACTTCTGGCTTTTTTCTTTTTACTTATGTGGTGCTGAGGAATCGAACCCAGGGCCTCAGGCATGCCAGGCAAGCGCTCTACCACTGAGCCATCTTCCCAGCCTCTGTTCTCATAAACTTAAGTGTGCATATGCCAAGATTAAGGACATGAGTGAGTGTGTGTGTGTGTGTGTGTGTGTGTGTGTGTGTATTCTTGTGTGTGTATCGGTTGTGGGGCTTGAACTCTAGGCTTGGGCGCTGTCCCTCAGCTCTTCAGCTCAAGGGGAGTGCTCTACCTCTTGAGCCACAGTGCCACTTCTGGTTTTCTAGTGGTTTATTGGAGATAAAGTCTCACTGACTTACCTGCCTGGGCTGGCTTTGAATCCTGATCCTCAGATCTCAGCCTCCTGAGTAGCCAGGATGACAGGTATGAGCCACTGGCGCCCAGCTGACATGAGTATATTTTTAAAAATTACTTTAGGAAATAGAGCTGTAGCACAGTGGTAGAATGCAAAAAAGCTTGAGCAAAAAAGCTCAGGGACAGTGCCTAGGTCTTGATTTCAAGTCCCATGACCAATGCACACACACACAAAATTACTTTATATTAAAAAATCCCATTCTAAACAAACCATGATGTAGTCCATTCCTAAAATTCAGGCCTGAACCTTTTTATTAAGTGTATTTGATGAAATGGCAACAGAGCTTCATTAGTTAAGAATAAGGATCATACACAGCAGTTTTCGAAGAAATCCTTTTTCTTCTCCCATTTAGTATGCTTCATTACTAAGATGTTTCTTTACTAACAGTTCAGTGTTTTTGTGGTACCTGAGGAACACCCTGCAGTGTATATTAGCAGCATTATGAAATTGCCACTTACAGATAATTTTGGCAGCAAAACAGTTTAAATAAAGGTGAGGAAGACTGACAACCTATCTTTAATAATTACTTACCTTCCTGATAGTTCTATTTCCCTTCTTTTTCTGTCACTTGTATATAATCTTCCTTCCTTCCTTCCTTTTTTCCTTCCTTTCTTCCTTCCTTTTTTCCTTCCTTCGTTCCTTTTTTCCTTGCTTCCTTCCTTCCTTGCTTCCTTCCTTCCTTCCCTGTCTCCCTTCCTTCCCTGTCTCCCTTCCTCCCTCCTTCTCCTTCCCTCCCGGGTCCCCCCCTCCTTCCTACTTTACTTTTTTGTCAGTTGTGGGGCCTGATCTCTGGGCCTGGGCACTGTCCCTCAGCTCAAGGTGAGCATTCTCTGAGCCACCTTCCCATCCTCTTTGTCTTTTTTTTAATGTATCAGTCCTGGGTGCTATCCTGTGCTTTTTTGCTCAAGGTTGGCACTCTGTCACTTGAACCACAGCTCTGCCTCTGGCTTTTTGGTGGTTAATTGGAGGTAAGTGTCTCATAGACTTTCCTACACAGTTTGACATTGTGGATCTCAAGCCCAGCTTGAAAGTAAAACTGTGTTAGACAAAAAGAAGAAATGGCCAGGTGCCGGTGGCTCACGCCTGTAATCCTAGCTTCTCAGGAGGGTGAGATATTAGGACTGCGGTTCAAAGCCAGCCCAGGTAGGAAAGTCTGTGAGACTCTTATCTCCAGTAAACCCCCAGGAAACTGGAAGTGATTCTGTGGCTCAAGTGGTAGGGTGCTAGTCTTGAGCTGAAGAGCTGAGGGACAGCTCCCAGGCCCAGAGTTCAAGCCCCCCAACCACCAAAAGAAAAAAAAAAGAAATGATTTGGTGCTAGTGGCTCATGCCTGTATATGTTGTTACTTAGGAAGCTGAAATCTAAGGATTGCAATTTAAAGCCAGCTGAGGCAGGAAAGCCCATGAGACTTTTATCACCAATTATTCACGAAAGAGTCAGAGTGGAGTTGTGGCTCAAGTGGTAGAGTGCTAGCCTTCAGCAAAAAAGCTCAGAGACAGCACCCTGGCTCTGAGTTCAAGTACCAGGACTGGCACCAAGAAAAGAAAAGGTGAAATGGCTTTTAGTTTACTCAATACACGAAAATTTCTTACTTAAAAAAAAAAAATTGTATCTTTCAGTGTCAGATGGGAAGATCAAAGAGTTTTCTTCAAAAAATGCCATTCTTGAAGGTGACTCATCCAAGTATTTGATAATGGAAAGAATTTTAAGCCAAGGCCCTATTTGTTCCAACTTAAAGAGAAGCTGGAAGTGCAAAAATGGTACCCAGATGCTACAGGGAGACCATGGGTTTATCAGGCAAGTGACAGTTTCTCATCAAGAATTCCTAGGTCGACATATGAGTATCAGTAATACAGAGAGGCCCTATGGATGCCATGAATGTGGAAAAAGTTTCAATCGGCGCTTCTCCCTGGTGTTACATCAGAGAACTCACACTGGAGAGAAACCATATGTGTGTAAGGAGTGTGGCAAGACCTTTAGCCAGATCTCAAATCTTGTGAAACATCAGATGATACATACTGGGAAGAAGCCCCATGAATGTAAGGACTGTAACAAGACATTCAGTTACCTTTCATTCCTTATTGAGCACCAGAGAACACACACGGGAGAGAAACCTTTTGAATGTGCTCAGTGTGGAAAGGCCTTTAGTCGTGCCTCAAATCTTACTCGACATCAGAGAATTCACCTAGGCAAGAAACAATATATGTGTAGGAAATGTGGGAGAGCCTGTAGCAGTGGCTCAGAACTCATCCAACATCAGATTACTCATACTGGAGAGAAACCTTATGAATGCAGTGAATGTGGGAAGGCATTTCGCCGTTCCTCACATCTTACTCGACACCAAGGCATCCATACAACCAAAACCCCCTATGAATGTGATGAGTGTAGCAAAGCTTTCCGTTGTCACTCATTCCTCATTAAACACCAGAGAATTCATTCTGGAGAAAAGCTCTATGAATGTGATGACTGTGGTAAAGTTTTCAGTTGGCACGCATCTCTTACTCAACATAGGAAAATTCATACTGGAGAGAAACCCTATGCATGTGTAGAATGTGATAAAGCCTTTAGTAGAAGCTTTTCTCTCATTCTACATCAGATAACTCATACTGGAGAGAAACCCTATGTATGTAAGATATGTAATAAGTCATTCAGCTGGAACTCAAACCTTGTTAAACACCAGAGAATGCACTCTCTAGAGAATCCCTATAAATATGAAAATTCACTTAATTACCACCCATTGTTTGATGAACAGCAATGATTCTCTCTGTAAGGAAGGCCTAAAAATTTATGGGTAAGTACAAACCTAAAATCTCCAAAATAATGCCTTACTTTTACTTCAGAGAACTTTTGGGAAAGAGCCTTATATGAATGTGTTGAATGTGAAGGAATGCGGCCCAGACCTATTTTATATCATGGAAAAAAACTCCAGGAATATGTGTGAAAGCTATTAGTAGCTGCTCATTCTTTATCAATATCCAAGGAAGAGATCAGTATTGAGAAGATTGTTCATTTAAAAGGAGTCCTTGCTCTCTCTATTTTTTTTGGGGGGGGGGGTCCGGTCGTGGGGCCTGAACTCTGGGCCTGGGCGCTGCTCTTCAGCTCAAGGCTAGCACTCTACCACTTGAGCCACAGTGGCACTTCTGGCTTTTTTCTTTTTGCTTACGTCGTGCTGAGAAATCAGGGCCTCAGGCATGCAAGGCTAGCGCTCTTTCCTTCCAGGAAAGTCAGTATGCAATAGATACGAAGAAGCTTTTAGTTAGAGACCAGCCCTCATTCTGCATCTGTTGGCCTAGCCAGAATAGAATGCGTGATAAGGAAGAGCTTACTAAGGGGTACTCTGTCTGCATATCAGAAAATTTATAGTGAAACAAAGTGACACAAACAAAGTCGTTTGAGAATTTATTTGCCAGATACTATTTATTCTAAATTCTCTTGAAGGAGACAAAGCAACTTTTAAGTTAATGAATTGTGACTTTTCACAATACTCCAAAAGTTTATAAGGTAATTATATTACGGAAAAATATCATTGTGATGAGTTAACTGAATTTTCATATTTCTATGCATTTATTCAGAGCAGAAACTGTGGGCAAGGGTCTGATTTCCAGAGGAGATGGGACATTTCTAGGTGAATTCATAAAAGAAAGTTATAAATAAATCTGTTGGCTTATAGTAAACTAATTTTGAACTTGCTGGTTTCTTCCACAGCATATTTTAATCTGAAAATGTATCTACCACATTATTGACATCAACTGTGCATAATGCTGTGCTTTTAGAAATATTCTATAAGGTAGGCGCTGGTGGCTCACTCCTATAATCCTAGCTACTTAAGAGGCTGAAGTCTGAGGATTATGGTTTGAAGTCAGCTTGGGCTGAAAAGTCTCCATGAGACTCCTGTTTTCAATTATCTACTCAAAAACTGGAAGTGGCAGGCAGGCTGCTGGTGGCTCACACCTGTAATACTAGCTACTCAGGAAGCTGAGATCTGAGGATCGTGGTTCAAAGTCAGACCTAGCAGAAAAGTCTGTGAGACTCTTATCTTCAATTAACCACCTGACAATGGGAAGTGGCACTGTGGCCTTGAGCTGAAGAGCTTAGGGACAGCATCCAGGCCCAGAGTTCAAACCCCATGACCAACAAAACAAGCAAACAAAGTGGGAGTGGCATGGTGACTCCAAGTAGTAGAGCATTAGCCTTGAACAAAAGAGCTCAGCAATATTGGTTAGGTCCTGAGTTCAAGACCATGACCGAAAAAAGTATTCTATTAATATTTTTAGTTATGGTTTGAGCCTGAGTTTTGCTAACTTGTTCAATTTTGAATTTACATTATCTTAGTCTAAAATAAAGGCAAGATACATAACAAAATGCCAATGCAGTTTCCTGAGTTTTATTCATTTTCCAATGAGAAGAGGTTTTTTTTAAATCAATGCATATTTAAAACTAGCCAGTATCATCTTCCCAGCTGGCATAATTCACCCTAAAGTAAGCTTGCTTTCATCAGGAGAGCAAATTTATAGAAAGAATTACAGAATTAGGAATAACTTGTGCTTTAATATTATAGTAGCTGTATTGAGGGTCAAGTCTATAGTAAATATTATTAAATACTTTGTAAGTGTTTTTTTTTTTTTTTTGGTCAGTCATGGGGCTCGAAATCTGGGTTTGGGTGCTGTCCTTGCACTTTTCACCTCAAGGCGAGTGCTGTACCGTTTGAGCAACAGCACCATTTCAGGTTTTCTAGTGCTTTATTGGAGATAAAGTCTCACAGACTTTCCTGGCTTTGAATTGTGATCGTCAGATCTCAGCCTCTTGAGTAGCTAGGATTACAGGCGTGAGCCACTGGTGCCTGGCTTTGTACATGTGTTTTTGTACATGGTGGAAACTAGAAATCAGTTCCAAATAGCTTTATTTATGTGTTACAGGGTTCTAATTGCATTACTGGAAGAGCTGTAGTTCAAGTCAGCATTACATATGCTACTTTACCTTTACTAAGTATCGTTTAGAAGTAGATTAATTGTAAAATAGTATATAGTCTTCCCCAAACATTGATGAGAAGCATACCTTGATATAGATGGGTGTCTAGTATCTGGTTTAGTTTTCTAAGGTAGTAATAAAATCAGTACTCTGAAGTGTCAGAAATACTAGAAAGATGGCTCTAGGTATACTCTTGAACCCTATAATGAAAATCAAATAACTGATAACATGAACATTCTCACTTAAGTCGATACCTCTTTAAGGGCATACCAAATACTTTGTATTTTCTGGTCCAGATCCTGTTCTTCCTTCCTGCACTGAATAGAATCTGGCTTGTATCAATTACTAGTCCTGCATTCACAGGTAATGCATTCCAAGATTCCTGGTGCGCCTGGAATAGCATACACTACTGAGCCCTATTTACAAGCCCAGTAATACCTTCACAACTCATCAACACTGAGTTGGTAGGTGGACTGTACACACTGATAGGCTAGAGAGATGGCTCTTCGTGTTCTGGAGGGGATAGACAGGCAGAGCAGGGCCTCATCAGGTTCTTAGAACAGTGTGCCACTTAAAACAGGTTGTTGATAGTTTTCCATTTTCTGTTTCTGGGCCACAGTTGATAGATAGTAAGTTATGGGGCGCACAGGTGAGATAGAGAAGGCCCAGTATTTCAGTAGGGTCGCTACCGTACAGCCTGTGGGTCAGTATTCATCTGTATATCTGCCTACGGGGCAGGGTGGGCTTCTGATGGAAGTCTGGTGAAGGGTACGTTTGCTCATGCAACTGAAAATTACCAAAGTGAAAAAGAGCTGTGTGTGCGCGTGTGTGTGTGTGGGTGTGGGGGTGTGTGTGGTGATGCCAGCTTGTGATCGGATGCCTGCCCCGGAACGGGGAGGGAGAGTGTACGTGCGTGTGTGCTTAGTCCAAGGCGCTTCCTAGTTCCCTAGCGCGCTCGAGCGGCGGCGCGGCTGGGACTACATTCCCCACAGTGCACCGCGGAGGCCGCCCGGCCCCGTGCCGTCAGGCCTCGTGCCGTCTCCAGCGGTGGGGGCGGGGCTCCCTGCGAGTGGACCGCGTCTGCCGTGGCGCCTCGGTCGGTGCGTTCGGGAGGCGCGTGCCCACGGGAGGCGTGTGCCCCTGGCCGCCCCTCACCCCTCGCGTCCCGGCGTTGCCACGGTAGGTGG